ATTCGGTTCACCACACACAACAGTACTGGAGTACGCAGCTCCACCGTGGAACCCTCATTTCCTCAAGCACTGAAACTACGAAAGCTGTAAGATAGAGTTCAAGAAAGAGATCTCATAGCATCAGAGGATCGAATAAAATAGGAGACATGTCAACATATAAAACACTCAGACACTGACAAGGTTCCAAGAGAAAGATTCGAGGAAAGAAAATGAAATGACAACTGAAAACAAAACATTCATTATATTAATGTTTACAGAACCGACAAGCGGATGAATAAGACGTGGAACACTCCTAGTATCTTTATTGTGGGAACGTTCCAGCATCCAGTGACCATCAGTCCAGTCGTGAAGACAGTGGAAGACGTGAAAAAAGGAATGTGAGGTCTTCATTTCCCCAGTCTGACGTACTGAATACCTCATATGACCTCTTGTTTAGTCTTCCTTTTAGTCTATCTGACTGATAAAGCCACAAGTTGGATAAAAACATCTCCACTACAAAGGTACCAAAGTATAGCACACGTATCTTAGAAGTTCAGACGAGTCAAAGGAACACGAGAAAGAATACCTTCAGTATGTGTGTAGTGAACACATGTGATGTGCCAGGAAAAGATGTTGCAGAAGCCAACTCCATACATGGACTGAAAAGCGGACATGACAGCCATAAGGGCAGGCAGGGAGCAAGCCACACCAATCGCAGTGCAAAGACGCGGCCCCAGAGCTAGATTCGACAGACACATACATGCAGGAATTGCGTTTCCCTACACCCGAGTAATTTACAAGTTGGGTCAGAAGCCGTGAATCGACCCTCCGTAAACACACCTAGGTGAGCACACTCCCCTTTAGGACGAGAGTCAAGATGTGGATCTTTTTATTTTTTGTCAGAAGTGGCGAGTAAAGTTGAGATAAAAGATGGAGTGTAACAAACCCATTTTTCCAGGCGCAAAGAAAGATTCGGACGTCTTGTATAAATATGTTTGAGGAGGAAATGAGAGAGGTGGGCAAAAAGGTGAGAGGGTGGGTGGGTGGGTTGGTGGGTTTGCTGGGTGAGCGAGGGTTGATAAACTGACAATCTCGTTATAAAACTGAGAAAAAAAAAACTCTGGGACTTTTTTTTATGTCTTATTTGTCGCCAGACGTGGCAAGGTGGAACCTGACGTGGCAAGGTGGAACCTGACGTGGCAAGGTGGAACCTGACGTGGCAAGGTGGAACCTGACGTGGCAAGGTGGAACCTGACGTGGCAAGGTGGAACCTGACGTGGCAAGGTGGAACCTGACGTGGCAAGAAGGAACCTGACGTGGCAAGAAGGAACCTGACGTGGCAAGAAGGAACCTGACGTGGCAAGAAGGAACCTGACGTGGCAAGAAGGAACCTGACGTGACAAGGTGGACCCCAACACGAGACATGAAGCCGTCTGAAGGTAAAGAAAGAGAAGTGCAGAGGAAGAGAGTACATGGGAGGACAAGCACGGACATGGGATGACATGTGAATATACAAAGGAAAATTGGAGGACACACTAGGACATGGAAAAATAAGGATAAGACTCCTTGAGACAAGAGTCTCTGTCGAACTATTATCGTAAGAAGTAGGAAGCCTCCAGGCCTGGTCACAGACCGGGCCGCGGGGGCATTGACCCCAGAAACCCTCTCCAGGTATACTCCTTGTGCTGAATAACCACACAAGGTATATACAGTAGTTCATCTGCTATATATACCCTGAGAAATCATCACAATCTGGAATTTATAGTTCTTTGAATCAGAATACTTCCGTATACAGTGCTACCCCCTCCTTTCTCCCATCTTTCTCTCCTTTCTCCTCATGCAGTTGCTCCGGGGGAACACTGCATCTGTAATCATATCAGTTAACTTGGTTTCCATAATCCCGATGAGATTTGGGTTTACTTCCTTCACGCCTTAATTTAATTCAGGAGCTTTGTGTGTGATTCTACGTTTGTATACATTACAGTGATGTACGTTTGATATACATTCTTAATAGTGGTGTATGACTGATTTAGAGGGCTAGAGTGCTTGTGAGTTTGATAAAGTTTGTAGTATAAAAAGGACTTAAGGATGTGTATAGCATTGGGGATGAAGATGGGTTTTGAGATATGGTGGGCCTTTGAGTTGGGGGGGGGGGCTAGATATGTGGGGGACTGAAATTTGATGTATAAGGCTAGGGATTGAAGTAGAGGATGAGTGTGGTCAGTACAGAGTGAAGAAAGGGGATAGTCCAGTCTGTATTTTAAGGTCGAGATGCTCATTGGTGGAATAACCGGGCAAGAACACGCGTGTTAGCATCAACGGATGCAACATTTACTATGGTAGAACGATGCAAGGCGTCTTTACCATACCCCCGCACTCAGTCGATCCTGGACCAGTGTCAGACTGACTCCACAGTTGCCCAGGACGGTCCGGAACGTCTCCATAAGGTTCTTCTAAGTGCGGGTTTTAAGTACGGTTTTTTTTAGTACCTTGTTCCAACCACCGCATAGTGACTTTCGATTTTTGATGGAAGGCTTGTTGCCTAGTCTTGTGGAGTGTCCTGAGGGTGGTGGGAGGGAGAGGAATTGTAGTCGCCTGCTGGAAGAGTTTGTGGGCTGTGTAAACAAAGAAAATGTGATAACTCTGTATACAGTAGAGGAGTGAAGAACCTGAGTGGGTATAAAAATACAATTTACAGAACAGGTCTTATCAGGGTAGAGTTTCATTGCCTGTACATCTCTCATTTCTTTCTCATGCTTTTTACATATCCCTCATTTTTGTTGTTGCCAGAAGCCAGCACATTACCTCTTTGCATACTGATATTTCTTGTAGGCAAATAGATGTCCCTAGTGTTTTTTTACAGCAATGTTTCTAGTTTCTAGCAAGCCACAACACTACTGAATGTCTTCGATTTGACCCGGGGGTCTATGACACCAGTACGAATTTTGCTAATGTTCTCTAAACACCTCTTCTACATTAGTTTGTTGCTTTGATCTTTTGTTCTGCTTGTTTGTGGCTATAACAAATCTTCCTTACTAATGTTTTCATGTTCAGTTATATTCTTTTACGTCGTTATCATGTCTCCTCTTTTCCTCCTCTCAGCCAAAGATGGTAGGTTATATTCCTTCAGTCGTTCTAATTCATTTCCTTAAACTCGGGGACTAATTATGTGGAATGCTTCTGGACTTTTTCCAGCGTATTATTTTGCTGTGTGTTGCAAGTTTGCTCTAACATGTGGCTGTCGACAAATATTACAATATTTTTCTAGGCATGGAATTAATTTTCCTATCAGATTTAGCCAAAAACGGGAATCTGATACTGTTCTTTATTACACGAGCTTCCGGTGACAATTTGTCAGTGTGTGCTCGCCTGCTTGTGACTTCAGGGATCGAGCTTCTCTTTTAGCCTCGGCGGCCAAGGTATGGAGCCTGTCTTCGCTGCGTTCTCGGCAAGGTCATTCCACTTCCTGACAGTCTTCACGCTGTGCATGTACTCACTTCCATGTGGTTGCAGGGGTCGAGTCACAGCTCAAAAGATTAATGCAAACAGAACCAGGTGTTCCCAGGCAGTCACCCATCCAAGTACTCACCAGACCCACAGCTGCTGAACTTCGCTGATCGGAAGAGACGCGGGGTGAGTGTGTGTGTGTGTGTGTGTGTGTGTGTGTGTGTGTGTGTGTGTGTGTGTGTGTGTGTGTGTGTGTGTGTGTGTACGCACACTTGCTTGTGTGCACTTTGCAATAAATCAATATTACCGAGTAACTGCAGTTTACAACAAAAGTGGAAATCAATTTCCTGCAGTATTGCTTGAGTAAATATTCGCGACCCTGGATTCCATAGCAGAGCAAATTTAAAATGTCACGGCGAGTTCCTTCATAGTGTGACAGAACCCAGGAAGAAGTTTACTGAGAAATGATCTGGCTATGTGATGAGAATGTTAGTGTGCAGAGATCGGATGAGAAACAAGAGAAGACAGTACGTGAGATTTTCATATATATATATATATATACATGTCTTTAAAATATAAATGCAGCATTGTCTAAAATGTATAGAATGTAAAATGCAAAATAAAATATATGAAAGACCAGTGGATGTAAAATAAGAGAAAGTTTAATAATATAGTCATCCCTTTGTGGAGGATAATGTTATATTTGGCTGGTTCCTTGACTGTGTTAAATGTTGATCGACTACACGAGGGCCATTAAGGCTGCATATAACCTGTTCACCACCCGTCAACACCACTTCATTCTCCATAGTGGAGTTCAAAGCAAATTCTCAGCCTATTTACACTGAAAAACACGCTTCTCGGTGTATGTCAATAACTAGACAGGATTTTGCTATATACTATTATACCATTTTGTAGGATTACGCTATTTACATAGCTATATATCAGGGAAGCATATCGCTATATTTCGCTTTATCTGCTCGCCCAGGACAACTATATTAAACACTTCCTCTATCTTAATCAAGACTTGTCCATGTTACCTCATCACATGATTGAACTCAATCATCCTTGTTGTTTTAGCAGAAGCTGAAGTCCACTACACACACACACACACACACACACACACACACACACACACACACACACACACACACACACACACAGTCACCGGGAAATGTCTCATCTGTCAAGATCCATCTCAACATTCAAAATTCACACCAGAAAGATTGAATTGGAGAGAATGGGATGCCCGTCCGCCAGGAAACAGGAAAGTCTCTCCTGCCGCGGGACTTCGGAGGGTGGAGAGATGAAGCAATCTCTAACTCACAGGTATCCTGGGTATCAGTGATTAGGCATGCAACCGATGGTATGCTGTTGCTGGATATCAGTTTGGCAATCCATGGTGAAACGGGATTGTCCACGTTTAAAAAACTGAAGATTGTAGGACAGTGTTGTGGGGCAAAGTGGGCACTACCCTCCTCGACATTGTTAGACAATACGAGAGTTTTAGACTTACATTCCACAGGAAAGATACAGATAGATACACAGACAAATATATGGACAGAGACGCTACTCACAAATCTTTGTCTGGTGTGACAGCAGCATGTGTCTGCAAAGAAGACAGCAATAGAGTTATTAGAGACATTCTTAGCGCTTATATCTTCACACTAGTATGTACACACACGGAATATCTGGTTGAGAGACTGGTGGAAACCGATTCCACACCCACACACAGTTTCAAGAGTAGGTATGACAGGCTAATGAATCCAGAAAGAGTGTAGAGCGAGGACTAAATTGCTTTTCATCCTCAACGAAAAACCCAGAAAACATTTCCCCGGTAAATTACGTGGGAAACCTCGTGTTCACTTTGTGCGCTTCGAAATGGTGGAGATATTCCCTCAATCCCACTGGCATTTGCAATGCATAGCAAAGGCCATTTATTTGCCATTGTTTTGTTGAGAAATATTTTGTTTGGCTATTTGTATAGCACGAAATATTCCACAGAGGTAAAAAAAAAAAAAAGTGTTAGGCCCCAAAAATTGTATTTGTTACACATGTTTTTTAGCATATAGGCCTCAGTACCCTCACTGGGTTTTGTTTTACTAATTAGATTCGAGGGTAAATGCCGGGTACAGTGTGTGTGTGTATGTGTGTATTCGCCTATTTGTGGTTGCAGGGCTCGAGACATAGCTCCTGTCCCCGCCTCTTTACTAATCGCTACTAGGTCGTCTCCTTGCTCCATGAGCTTTATCATGCCTTGTTTTAAAACGATGTATGGTGTGTGTGTGTGTGTGTGTGTGTGTGTGTGTGTGTGTGTGTGTGTGTGTGTGTGTGTGTGTGTGTGTGTGTGTGTGTGTGTGTGTGTGCGCGCGTTAGGGTGATGGAAGGAGAGACGGAGGCTTTGCCGATTGCTAGTCTAGCCAACCTGGCTGATCCGTGATTGTTGGCTTACTCTCTTACCTGATAGAGGTCTGTCCTTAAGAGCTGGGAGAGAAATTTAACTTTTTTCCTCCCTATCTTTCATTCTCATTCTCTCATTCTCTCTCTCTCTCATTCTCTCTCTCTCTCTCATTCTCTCTCTCTCATTCTCTCTCTCTCTCCATTCTCTCTCTCTTCATTCTCTCTCTCTCTCTCATTCTCTCTCTCTCTCTCATTCTCTCTCTCATTCTCTCTCTCTCTCTCTCTCATTCTCTCTCTCTCTCTCATTCTCTCTCTCTCTCTCATTCTCTCTCTCTCTCTCATTCTCTCTCTCTCTCATTCTCTCATTCTCTCATTCTCTCATTCTCTCATTCTCTCTACCTTCTGATTCTTTTCTCTTTTCTTTCCTGCCATCTCGGTCAAGTCTAACCAGATTAGTTAAGGGTTACTGAAACAAATATTTTGTGTCCGATACTGGGTTGAAATACTCCTGGTTTCGTTAGCTCTCTTGTACATTGGATCAAGAACCTTCACTATCCAGCCACTACCACCCACCAGACCACACCACTTCACTACCTTGGATCAAGAGCATAGCACGTAAGATTCTTCTCTCACCACTCGGGAAATAATTTCATGACAGACTAAGCAGTGGATGGAGGCGGATCAGGTGATATCAGATTTCCACATCAATATTGGCAGAGAGAGCATGCGAACCGCCAACAACAGCCTGGCTGGTCAAAAATCAGTTCACGAATAGCGGACGGAAGATCAAACCTCCACAGCTATTTCCCCAGACTCACACATATGGGTTTAACAATAATGATAATTATAATGAAAATGCTAATACATGAAAATAATAATAAAAAGGGGAAGTGTAGTACAAAAAAAATAAAACCCCGATAACAGTAAAGAGAATTATTATTTAAGAGGAAGAACCAGATCTACTTATATATATACATTATATTATATATATATTATATATAAACACATCGGCCGTCTCCCACCAAGGCAGGGTGGCCCGAAAAGAAAAACTTATCATTCACTCTCTCACTGTCTTGCCAGAAGGGTTGCTTTACACTACAGTTATAAAACTGCAACATTAACACCCCTCCTTCAGAGTGCAGGCACTGTACTTCCCATCTCCAGGACTCAAGTCCGGCCTGCCAGTTTCCCTGAATCCCTTCATAAATGTTACCTTGCTCACACTCCAACAGCACGTCAGGTACTAAAAACCATTTGTCTCCATTCTCTCCTAAGAGAGAGAGAGAGAGAGAGAGAGAGAGAGAGAGAGAGAGAGAGAGAGAGAGAGAGAGAGAGAGAGAGAGAGAGAGAGAGGTAGGTTTGCTATACAATATACCAGGCTAGTATGTCAGCCTAAATTTTAAACCCCTTATACTGCTGTGGTTCGACTTTAAAACCCAATGGACATAAATAAAAAAACTCGTGAGGTAGAGTTCAACCATAATAAAAAAAAAACCTATGTCAAGTCAGTGCTTTTCCTGATAGGGTCATTGTGCTCCACTGAGGCTCTACTCTAAAATGAACCTCTTGGGCTGACAGGGAACACAACGGGGCACTTATCCTGGTCGTTCCCGCTTGATTGGAAAGAGCTGTGGGATCCTTGTGAGAGCTGTGGGGTCCTCGTGAGAGCTGTGGGGTCCTCGTGAGAGCTGTAGGATCCTTGTGAGAGCTGTGGGATCCTTGTGAGAGCTGTGGGATCCTTGTGAGAGCTGTGGGGTCCTTGTGAGAGCTGTGGGGTCCTTGTGAGAGCTGTGGGGTCCTTGTGAGAGGTGTGGGGTCCTTGTGAGAGGTGTGGGGTCCTTGCGAGTGTCATGGTGAATGAGAAAGCAGACTGCTGGTGCAAGGGGCTAGTGTTAGTGACGGATGACGAGGCAATAGTGAGTGCTGGTGATGTTGAACAGAGAGAGAGAGAGAGAGAGAGAGAGAGAGAGAGAGAGAGAGCATAATTCTTTTAGAGGATTATGGCTTCGCTCATCCGTCTGGGATGCTGCATGTTATCTTAGCCGTCACGAGTCAGGCAGCGCAGTGAGAGGCGGAGGCTGGGATGTGGTAATCGCGCCGTGATCTCTGTATTATGAATCATCTTCCTCGATATATATATATATATACATGTACACGTGTGCCCAGTCTCGAGTCTGAATGATATCTGTCATATCACGACCCGACCTCAACACAATGAAGGCCTTGCATTTTAATTTAGGCAGACCGAGCCTATTTAATTCATGATAGGAGATCCAGGACCACGAAGGTCTAGGGACCGTCCTTCCGAGCCTCGGGTGATGGAAATGGATTATAATTTGCATTATACTCATGTGAAGTGTTGAATCCGTACGGATCATTCGGTTACAGGGGAAATGTCCCCTCATGGAAGGTTCCTTGATGCTGGTGAGGGGCTCTTGATTTAGGGAATTGGAGGTGCTTCATTTCCCTGATTATTATTATAATCAAAAAGAAGCGCTAAGCCACAAGGGCTATACAGCGCTGCAGGGTAGGAAAAGAAGCAAGGGAATTGGATGGCAGAAGGGAGGGGGGATGATCAGCAGGTTACAGAAAACAGCGGGGCAGGGGATAGTACGGGGGTAGAGGGTAGCAAGAGATTGAAGTAGAAAGGGCTGAAGGTATCAGAATTTGTGAAGTAAGTCAGTTGTTGTCAAAAAGTCAATGAGAGAGTCCGGAGGAAAGGTGGGTCCATCAGCGAGAAGGGAAGGTAAAGAGAGAGCAGCGGAGCGAAGACGACGACAGAGGTAAATTCTGCGTGCTCGTTGATAAAGTGGGCAGTCCAACAGAATGTGGCTGACTGATAATGGAGCTTGGCAATTCTCACAGAGAGGAGCAAGACGCCTCTCCACGAGATATCCATGAGTAAGACGAGTATGGCCAATGCGAAGACGGGAGAGAATAGTCTCCCAACCTCGACACTGGTGATAAGAAGACGGCCAGTAACCTATACTCGGTTTAATAGATTGAAGTTTGTTGCCGAGCATAGTAGACCAACGTTGTTGCCAACGGGTGTGAAGGTGGGAAGATATTGCAGTAAAATAGTCCGTAAATGGAATACCTCTATAAGAAACTGGTAGGTCATGTACTGCTGACCGCGCAGCAGTGTCTGCCTGTTCATTGCCCTGTACGTCAACATGACCAGGGACCCAACAAAAAACAATATCTTTATGCTTGGTAAAGATGCGGCGTAGCCAAAGTTGGATACGGAGGACTAAGGGGTGAGGTGTATCAAATTTTTGTATAGCCTGTAAAGCACTAAGGGAGTCTGAGACAACCACAAATGATGACACAGGCATAGATGCAATACGGATAAGTGCTGTAAGGATGGCATATAATTCAGCAGTAAAATACTAGCCGAAGATAGTAAATGCCCTTGTACGACGCTGTCCGGAAACACTGCTGCGAATCCTACGCCGTCAGAAGACTTAGAGCCATCTGTGTACACAGCAATGGCATGAGAATGAGAGTGAAAGTGGTCAAGAAAAAGAGCGGGAAGCGACCGTAGACAGTTGGGCTTTCGAGCAAGGGAGGAGAAAGAACAGACTCGAACAGCTGGAACTTCCCAGGGGGGTAGGGAAAAGTGAGATGCTACATGTACATAGAAAGGTGGTAGTTGAAGAGAAGACAAGAGCGAATGAAGGTGAAGAGAGAAGGGACGGAGTAAACAGGGGCGGCGAACAAATAAAGAATGTCTACTAATATCAGTGACCATTCTATAAATGGAAGGATTGCGGAGATCATGAGAGCGTACATAGTAGCGCAGGCAATGGGCATCACGGCGATCGGATAAGGATGGAACGTTCGCTTCTGCATAGAGGCTCTCGACAGGGAAAGAGCGAAAAGCACCAAGGCATAAACGTAATCCTTGGTGATGAATGGGGTTAAGGCTAGAGAGAGTAGCAGGAGATGCCGCTGAATAGATCTGGTCACCATAATCAAGTTTCGATAAATAAGGGTGGAATGTAGGCGAAGGAGGGTTCGACGATCAGCCCCCCATGAAAGATGAGCAAGGGTTTTAAGAAGGTTCAGCCGGCTGTGACAAGTTGCCTTCAGAGAGGTAATGTGAGGTTTCCAGGAAAACCCTTTACGATCAAAGAGGAGGCCTAGAAACTTGACTGTATCACGTTCAGGGATACGGGAGCCATAGAGGTACAAAGGATGATCGGAGAT